GGCCAGCATATCACCTCTATACTCGAAAATACGAGTTTTTCGGGTAAAATAATTGTTTAAAAATTTTTTTAATTGTTTTTATCATGGGAACTCTTTAGAAAATGCATTAATACGTTCAGAACTACACGAGAACTATTTTATAATAATCAGAACTCTCGAAATACGGCCAGCATATCACCTCTATACTCGAAAATACGAGTTTTTCGGGTAAAATAATTGTTTAAAAATTTTTTTAATTGTTTTTATCATGGGAACTCTTTAGAAAATGCATTAATACGTTCAGAACTACACGAGAACTATTTTATAATAATCAGAACTCTCGAAATACGGCCAGCATATCACCTCTATACTCGAAAATACGAGTTTTTCGGGTAAAATAATTGTTTAAAAATTTTTTTAATTGTTTTTATCATGGGAACTCTTTAGAAAATGCATTAATACGTTCAGAACTACACGAGAACTATTTTATAATAATCAGAACTCTCGAAATACGGCCAGCATATCACCTCTATACTCGAAAATACGAGTTTTTCGGGTAAAATAATTGTTTAAAAATTTTTTTAATTGTTTTTATCATGGGAACTCTTTAGAAAATGCATTAATACGTTCAGAACTACACGAGAACTATTTTATAATAATCAGAACTCTCGAAATACGGCCAGCATATCACCTCTATACTCGAAAATACGAGTTTTTCGGGTAAAATAATTGTTTAAAAATTTTTTTAATTGTTTTTATCATGGGAACTCTTTAGAAAATGCATTAATACGTTCAGAACTACACGAGAACTATTTTATAATAATCAGAACTCTCGAAATACGGCCAGCATATCACCTCTATACTCGAAAATACGAGTTTTTCGGGTAAAATAATTGTTTAAAAATTTTTTTAATTGTTTTTATCATGGGAACTCTTTAGAAAATGCATTAATACGTTCAGAACTACACGAGAACTATTTTATAATAATCAGAACTCTCGAAATACGGCCAGCATATCACCTCTATACTCGAAAATACGAGTTTTTCGGGTAAAATAATTGTTTAAAAATTTTTTTAATTGTTTTTATCATGGGAACTCTTTAGAAAATGCATTAATACGTTCAGAACTACACGAGAACTATTTTATAATAATCAGAACTCTCGAAATACGGCCAGCATATCACCTCTATACTCGAAAATACGAGTTTTTCGGGTAAAATAATTGTTTAAAAATTTTTTTAATTGTTTTTATCATGGGAACTCTTTAGAAAATGCATTAATACGTTCAGAACTACACGAGAACTATTTTATAATAATCAGAACTCTCGAAATACGGCCAGCATATCACCTCTATACTCGAAAATACGAGTTTTTCGGGTAAAATAATTGTTTAAAAATTTTTTTAATTGTTTTTATCATGGGAACTCTTTAGAAAATGCATTAATACGTTCAGAACTACACGAGAACTATTTTATAATAATCAGAACTCTCGAAATACGGCCAGCATATCACCTCTATACTCGAAAATACGAGTTTTTCGGGTAAAATAATTGTTTAAAAATTTTTTTAATTGTTTTTATCATGGGAACTCTTTAGAAAATGCATTAATACGTTCAGAACTACACGAGAACTATTTTATAATAATCAGAACTCTCGAAATACGGCCAGCATATCACCTCTATACTCGAAAATACGAGTTTTTCGGGTAAAATAATTGTTTAAAAATTTTTTTAATTGTTTTTATCATGGGAACTCTTTAGAAAATGCATTAATACGTTCAGAACTACACGAGAACTATTTTATAATAATCAGAACTCTCGAAATACGGCCAGCATATCACCTCTATACTCGAAAATACGAGTTTTTCGGGTAAAATAATTGTTTAAAAATTTTTTTAATTGTTTTTATCATGGGAACTCTTTAGAAAATGCATTAATACGTTCAGAACTACACGAGAACTATTTTATAATAATCAGAACTCTCGAAATACGGCCAGCATATCACCTCTATACTCGAAAATACGAGTTTTTCGGGTAAAATAATTGTTTAAAAATTTTTTTAATTGTTTTTATCATGGGAACTCTTTAGAAAATGCATTAATACGTTCAGAACTACACGAGAACTATTTTATAATAATCAGAACTCTCGAAATTCGGCCAGCATATCACCTCTAGTCTCGAAAATACGAGTTTTACGGATAAAAAATTGTTTTATTTCATTTTAATGGATATTTTTTACTTTTAGAAGGCAGAACTCTTCTTAGAACTCATATAGAACTATAGATCTTTTAAATTTGAACAATTATTGATAAGGAAAACGTCGTAGGACAAAGTGATATGCTGCGTGAAGTTGGCATATCAGTTTGTCCTGAGGCATTTTCTTTGGTTTAATCGCCAGAACTATTTGTTTAAACTATCAAGAACTCTAGAACTATTGAAAATAAAGCCAGAACTCTTAATTATTTATGATCTTCCACGAAATGATATGCTAGCTTCACACACACGAGTGCTTCAATTTTCAAACTTTTGAATTAGCAGATAGTGCTGTGAAATCAACGTATAATGTTTTCGTAAGTGTTTCATTGATATAAATTCAACGTTGCAATTACATATAAATAAATAAATATAGCTTGACATAGAAATTGTGAAAATATAAAAATTGTTATGTTTTCTTATATGTGTGTGTATAAAATCACTCATATATAATTATACTAAAATGGAATAATAAGTTTTTAAGCAAATTCAGTTTGTACGTCTCAAAATATATGTGTATGTAAAATATTTAATATATAAAACGTGTATATATGTATAAAACATATTTGTATACAGGGTTTACCCTGACAAACTGCGGAAGCATATTTTACAAATGGAAATAAGAAAACGATATTATATAAAGTTTAGCTAGAAAGAGAGAGAGAGAGAGAGAGAGAAATGCTTTATTATAAAATTATAAGGGTAAACCCTGGGACACTCTGTATACATATAAAATATCAGAAACTGAATATTTATCTATGTTATCGTGTTTAATTGATTCTTTCTTTTTCATTTTTCTCATTTAAAATATAGAAGAGAATGTGGAATGTACGGAATGTGTGAAGAGAACGAAAATGATACAACATCCTGAAATCCCGCGTATAAAATGGAGTATAACATATCCATTGCACAAGATCAAATCACGCTTATGTAATAGACCAAAAAATTTAGCTATGTTTCGCACTACTTCAAGATTATCGCAACTATTAATGCTAAATAGAGGTATATAGAATTATGTGAAGTTAATTTTTAATTCAAACAATCATCGATAGAAGGGCTTAAGGAGCATGTATTCCTTGATTGTTTATTATCTTTCGACTCTTTTTATTATTTTGATTTTAATTCAAATTTAAGTAAATTAATTTAATAACGAATTAATGCTGGAATAATGAATATGACTTTTTTAGTACTTCGTCTTTAATATTGAAAATCACATGGATTTCATACAGTTATCTGATTAAAATCAATTTTTGCAATCAGGTTTAAGTAAAATCTAGAGTAATTTAGATGTATATTTGACCAATCAAAGTTTAGTTCGGACATTCTATGCATTCAATAAATGTTTAACCCTCGCATTGCAAACGAGCGTCTAAAATACTAGCGCAGTGAAATAGTGTTTGACCGATTCTAAACTAGAGAGTTTATGCCAAGACTAACAATTGCATGATTTCTAGTTTTCAATACTCTAACAAAGGTGGGGCTTATTTCTTGTTAGTTCCTAATGATGTAAAATTGATCGCAAGTTTTATATGCAAAGCATGATAATCAATGTGTCGTCTTCTATATGTGCCGCCTTCTTTATGTGCTGTCTTCTATATATGCTGTCTTCTATATGTGCCGTCTTCTATATGTGCCGTCTTCTATATGTGCTGTCTCTATATATTTTTATCATTCACATACACGTTGGAAGTTCTTGGTTGTGGGTATTAAAATTTAATGTCATGCACTTTTCTTCGCATTTCTTAACACTTAACCATTAATTTTACATTTAGATAAAAAGTAATATGTATTGGATGTAGTAGCTTAAAGAAACTTAAAGCATATTTTATTAACAGAAACGTCGATGTGTGTGAAAGCTGTTTACGAGAGTCATTTCATAAGTAATGCACAATGTGGTAACATCGCAAACTGGATGATTCTTCCTTAAGTCCTCTACTACAATTGTTCAAAAATTTTATTGGGATTGCATCATCCAATCCGCAGCGTTACCACATTATTTAAATAGAACTTATTTGATAGGATCCTGCATAAAAAAAGCGGAAATTCGCCGCTCATATCGTCGTCACTAATAATTCTGCTTTTTGTCATGTATGTTGATTATGATATGTATATAGAATAACAATTTATCTTTCCGGTTAATCTTGACGCTCATGTTAATCGTCGGGTGAAACTTTTCAAGTCCAAGTGCTAATGTATCTATATCCTCGTTTTAAGGGTTATTTGATCGTATAACTATCAGCGTACACATATTCGCATATAATGTTTCTCACATAATACAAATTAATAAATATATTGATTTTGCCTTTTGTTCTCTCACCATTCTCATTCACAATCTTTCGTTTTAGTTGGCAGGTAAAAATGACGATTTTTTATTATTATCGTCATCTATAATCGTCATTTGAGAGAGTTATTCACTCAAATTTCAACGTATAAAATGAAGCCAATCAATAACAATCAAGCGTCGTCAACCACTCGAAATATTGTCAAAGGTCACATCGTTATCTTCTCTACTATTGAGTTACCATCATTCATCATCAGTGCCTTTAATGCTTTATTTACTTCAAAAACGATCGACTTCGAAGAGCAGCGTTTTTTTATTGAATTTACCTTCATCTTTCAGTATTATTCCGAGTATCGTCACGAATACTATCATTATATTCAACTGTAACGATATAAAAAGAAAGAAAAAGTGACTGTTTATATTTATATTTATTTATATTTATGTTTATGTTTATATTTATATTTATAATTTTCCTTTGTTTTGTTGCAGGTGAAGAAAATGACTTTATATCAGACGGTGAGGAGAGCGGCGGTGGAGCAGGAGGCGAGGAAGCCGTCGATCTTACCGCGGCGAGATCTCATCAGGGCGATGAGGACGACAAGGATGCCGATGATCCTCTGGGCGAGGACGAAGAGGACGGCGGTGACGAACAAGACGAGCAATACGAGGACGAGGAGGGTTCGCGAAAACAGATTCGCCATCGACAGGACGCGGAAAACAACAACAATTTTGTCGGGAGTGGCTCAACCTCCGCTGGAATATTTCCACCTGCTGGAACTAGTCATGTCACTCTCGAGGCCCTTCAAAATACAAAAGTTGCGGTCGCGCAATTCGCTGCCACCGCCCTCGCTGGTGGAGCCGATAGCGACGCGGCATTACAGGATCTGGCCTTCTTACAAAGTACGCTGTATAATCTTCAGCATCAACAGGTCCTCCAGTTACAGTTTATCAGCCAGCTTCAGCAACAATTATCGATCACTCAAAAGCAACCGGTAGCGCAACCGTCATCGATAGAGCCAACTGATAGCAAGGAGGCCTCGTCGTCTCCCATCATCCATCCGAAACCATTGTCGAGTCTCACATCACCACCTTCTTCTCGGCCACCGAGTAGTCACCATCACTCATCACCAGCGCCACTGACGCCGAATCTACTTCAAGAACGACCCACCTCGACGAGCAGTGCCTCTCCATTGAATCTACCCCTGTCTTCGTCCGGCACTACATCGACTACCGCTACGAGTACCAGCAGTCAAATCTCACTGTCGCATCAAATGCCGCCTCTTTGCTCGATCAGCTCTTCTCTCGCTTCGTCGATCATAACGAATAATGATCCACCGCCCCTTCACGAACCAAATACACTGGAGATGCTGCAAAAGCGTGCTCAAGAGGTTTTGGACAACGCGAGTCAAGGTCTATTGGCCAACAATTTGGCCGATGAGCTCGCATTTAGAGGCAGTAAAGGCTCACGGCTTTCGCCTTACGATTCGAAAACGAGCGGCGGTCGCGGCGAGCCCTTCTTCAAGCATCGATGTCGCTTCTGTGGCAAGGTCTTCGGCAGCGATTCAGCGCTACAGATCCACATACGATCCCATACAGGTGAGCGACCCTTTAAGTGCAACGTCTGCGGGAGCCGATTCACCACCAAGGGCAACCTGAAGGTCCACTTTCAGAGGCATACGGCCAAGTTTCCACACGTAAAGATGAATCCGAATCCCGTTCCAGAACATCTAGACAAATACCATCCGCCCCTCTTGCAGCAAATTGCTTCCGGGCAACGGCCAATATCCCCGCCGCCGCCGCCTCACGCCATTCATCATCCCTCGTGTCATCCGGCACGTAGGGAGCATAGTTTCCTACCACCACAGCCGCCTTTACCTCTCAGTCTTACATCGCCCAGTATGATCCTCTGCCGTTTACCAGTTATTAATCACCGGGACGATCAGGATGTGCCGGAAAACCTTAGTAAACCCGTAACCGCTGCTCCGCCGATGTCCCCTACTTCCCCCGCCGCTGTATCGAACTCTCATCATTCCTTTCACGACAATCATCAACAACAACAAAAACAACAACTCGAGCAGAGAGAGGAGATAAAGCTCGAACAGAGATCACCCGGACAGGACCAGTACCAGCAACGACTAATGAGCCAGGAAGACGCCGGGCGCATAACTCCGAAGAGAGAACCCGAGGAGACGGAGGAACCTGTAGAAACGGAAGAAGGCGAGGACTTTGAGGAGACAACGAGGCGATCTCTCAACTCACCTTCATCCTTAGTGAATCCGTCGTTTCAGCCGCAAGCGTACGAGGATTGTAGTATGGACAGCAAGATCAGCGGACGGTTAGAGGGCGACGGCGAGATGGAAATAGACGAAGAGACAGAGGAGCAACCGGAGAACCTCTCTGGCAAGGGTACGATCAATCGTTTGCCTCAACAGATGATGGCATATCCTGGAGCGTCTCCAGCTAGTAGTAGCGCGAGTAGCGGTAGTCTTCAGACATCCTTCGCCGGGATTCTATTCCCGAGCGCTCCGGCTCATCATCAAATACCTTCTCATCTTCCGACGGTTTCCACCGCTGGGCAGACGCCGACTGTCTCCGCGAACGAGATGATCGATCCGGCTAAGGATCCAGCGATCTATTCGAGCTTGTTACCGCGACCGGGTAGCAACGATAATTCCTGGGAAAGCTTGATTGAAATAACGAAAACTTCCGAGACGTCTAAATTGCAGCAGCTAGTCGATAATATCGAGCACAAACTGAGCGATCCTAATCAGTGTATTGTTTGTCATAGAGTGCTCTCGTGCAAGAGCGCATTATTAATGCATTATCGCACTCACACGGGCGAGCGTCCGTTCAAGTGCAAGATCTGCGGTCGCGCGTTTACCACAAAGGGCAATTTAAAAACTCACATGGGAGTGCATAGGGCTAAGCCGCCGCTAAGAGTGTTGCACCAGTGTCCAGTGTGTCACAAGAAGTTCACGAACGCTCTCGTGCTTCAGCAGCACATACGCCTTCACACCGGCGAACCTACCGATCTTAGTCCAGAGCAGATTCAAGCCGCAGAAGTAAATGAGTTTCCGGGTTGTTATCCTCAACCTCAGCTTTCTTTCTTCCCGCAAGGATTTGCGCCGATTCATCCGACCGGTGCTGGCTTTACTTTAGGATTCCCTGGATCTAGGCAACCGACCATCGAGCAACAATCGCATGAAAATGACGTCGATTTGAAGGAGGAGTCTCAGCAACAACGGCAAAGATTTATGGAAGAGCATAGCGAGGAGATGGAAGATCAGGATGACGAGGAGCAAGATCGCAGAGAAGACGACGATAGATGCGAGGTGAATCGCGATAGACGTAGTGCTGAAATGATGGAGAAAGAGCAGGAGCACGAGAACGAGGAAACCGAGCACAGAGACATGATACTTCCCATGTTTTCAACTTCGCTGGCGGCCCTCGAGAACCAAGTAAAGACCATCACGACGACGATCGCCACGACCACGATCGCGAATGTAGCCAGATCGCCGCCGTCCTTTCATCGATATAATGGTAGCGAAAAGAGCGACAGTTCGCCAATTTCCGGTGCCCCGCTCGATCTGACACCTCGCGCTTCGTCCACTCCGGCGTCGGTAGCTTCCGCGTCGCCGACACCGCCGCCGCTGCCGCCACCGTCCCAGACTGTACCGTCGCACCATCCGTCGCATCCCTTCAGTATGTTTACTGGATTGCTGCAAGCAGTCTCGTCCGCACCCGTCACCAGCACGCCAGGCACGTCCAACATAAATAGCATCACGTCGATGAGCGCAATCAACCCGGGAAGCGCTCCCGGCAGCGGACCCTTAGCCTCGCTAACCACCTCAGCTGTACTAGCCGCGTCATCGACTTACAATCCGCTCGGTCTAGCTGTCGGAGGGCCAGCAGGTAGGCTCCAAGTCATCAGAATCAGCGAGCTGCGGTTCCTGCTACAACCTTTCCCGCGTCCGATAATCACGATTCTATCTTGCCACGTATCACCGAGTCCAAAACCGCATTCTAGTACACCTCTTTCCGTGTGTGGTGACATATTCGGCTTATCCATATTTCATACCGATATCCTGTTTGTGATATAGCCAGACCTAGCACTCCCGCTCTCCTGTTATATGACTTTTTTATTTTTCTTATTAATTTTGTTGTAATTATCATTCTTTGATATCTCTTTATCTTTCTTTGTATGTCTGCATCATTATTTATTACTCCGATTTTATTATTATTATTTGCCTTATCGTTTTGTCTTTCTCTACTTTTTTATACTATCTCTTGCAATAATAGATACACTTATACAAACGTAGAATATGCCTCACCGCTTTGTCTTTATTTTTTCCAGTTTTACAGCAGTTTCTGCTTTTCATTTTCAAGCAATATCATATGATGTGATGCATACGAACACATACACATATGTACAAAGAGATATTTTCATCATAATTAGAGCAAAATTTCAATTTTTTATATCTTATCTTTTTATTTATTTATTTTTTTTTTTTTTTTAGAAAATTCGCGCGATTATGGGAATATCTTATATATAATTTGCAAAATATTGATGAAAATTCTATAAATTTAAATTATAAATGAAGATTCAGCATAACCATCTTGCATCCTGGAAGTTGGTGAGATTTATAACTATTCTGTTATTTCACTCTTTGGGAAAAATTCAATAAAAAAAGTCTACAACAATAGAAAATATTTTGCAATCGATTTTTTCATTCATAAATTGTGAAATATTAAGAAGAAAAACAGAAGAGCAATACATTAGACTTCCGCTATTTTGATTGTTCGGGGCAGTAGAAACAAAAAATTCTTAAAAAACAAGAATTAACAAGTAATGGAATAACGACCACCACGCTGTGAGCTATCCAATGGCTATATCATATGCGAATGCAGTCTTGCACATGAAGCTATCATCTGCGCATATCATCGCGTAATCTGCATATTATGATAAAAAGAACATGACATTAGTATTCATCAAAGTATGTGATAATAAAATTAATGAAGCCTACTGTATATGGATTGCATGTCTTTAATGTCTTAACATTAAATGAAAGATGCTAATTATCATTTATATATATACAATATATATATATGTATATATAATATACATCTACACACACACATACATATATTTTATATTTATATAGATATCATACATATGTATTACATTGTACAGATATATTATATATGTACGTATACATACATCCCTTTTACTTCTGACAGAAAAAGAAAGATATAATTCGTTAAATATTTCTATCTTTTTTTGTTACATTGTTATATTGGATTTGCTTATATACTCTATGGTTCCTGTGTCTACATATATATACATACATACATATATTGTGCATACATATATATATATATATATACAAATATACGCATACATACATACATTATACATACATGTATATATATGCATATATACAGCGTGGGGAGCACTTAATTTTATGATATAAATTTGAGAGATTTCGATTTTGGTGACAATATGAGAATATTTTTGAAAAGTATTATGAACACTGATTTAAAGAAGAAAAAATCAATCTCTGCGACGAAATGTTCATGCAGTCACTGTTATTGACAATCGCTATTTAAGTACAAATACAACGATGTAGATAAAAAAAATGGATAAGACTATTTATAGACTTTTGAGCACGAAGATATTGATATTTTTACGAGAATTATTTATTTATTTTTTTTAGTTATACTCTTAAATCATAATTTATATGGTGATATATATATATATATATAAATAGTAACTTGAATACAACGAAAAAAATGGATAAGACTATTTATAGACTTTTGAGCACGAAGATATTGATATTTTTACGAGAATTATTTATTTATTTTTTTTATTTTTTTTCTTAAATCATAATTTATATGGTGATATATATATATATATATAAATAGTAACTTGAAAATATT